GCGCCTGTAGCTCGTATTGAAACAATACGACTGCTTGTGGGATTAGCCGTTTCTTATAACTGGGAGATACACCATCTTGATGTCAAGACGGCGTTTTTACACGGTGAGCTAAACGAAGATGTTTATGTATCTCAACCAGAGGGCTTTGAAAAGGAGGGAGAAGAACATAAGGTGTTTAAACTTTCCAAAACCTTACATGGACTGAGGCAGGCTCCACGAGCATGGAACACAAAGCTGGATCAAATTTTAAAAGGTTTAAAATTCAAGAAGTGTTCCAAAGAAAGTGTTGTGTATCGCAAGGAAGACAAAACAGAGTTTCTCCTTGTGGCTGTGTATGTCGACGATCTCTTTGTCACAGGAAACTCGTTGGGAGTAATACAAGAGTTCAAGACAAACATGTCAGCCAAGTTCGAGATGTCCGATCTTGGAAAACTCACATACTACCTCGGCAATGAAGTTTTCCAAGGAAAAGATGGCATCGAGTTGAAGCAAGAAGCATACGCACGGAAGATTCTCAAGGAAGCTGGATTAGACAAATGTAATCTCTCTCACATTCCAATGGAGTTCGGGTTAAAACTGTCTAAAGCTCAAGGAGAAGAGCCAGATACTGATACAACCCTGTATCGTCGGAGAATTGGCTGTCTACGGTACCTCCTGCATACTAGACCTGATCTCGCTTACTCTGTAGGAGTGGTTAGCAGATATATACAAAATCCAAAGGAGTCACATGGCGTTGCTTTAAAACAAATTCTGAGATACTTGCAGGGAACACTTTCATATGGACTAGTGTTTAAGCGAGGAGGATCGAGGAGGATTGTTGGTTACAGCGACAGTAGTCATAACACAGATCTTGATGATGGAAAGAGCACAGCTGGACATGTGTTCTACCTTGGAGAAATACCAATCACCTGGTGTTCGCAAAAACAACAGGCCGTCGCACTATCTAGTTGTGAAGCTGAGTTCATGACTGCAACGGAAGCTGCGAAACAAGCGATATGGCTACAAGACTTGTTGAGTGAAGTGATGGGAAGAGGGTGTGTGAAGACGACCATTCGCATTGACAACAAGTTGGCTATAGAACTCACAAGGAACCCTGTTTTCCAAAGAAGAAGCAAACACATTCACAAGCGATATCATTTCATCCGAGAATGTGTTGACAATGAACAAATCGCAGTGGAGTTTGTTTCCAGAGAAGAACAGTGTACAGACATTCTAACAAAAGCTCTAGCAAGAATCAAGTTCAGGACGATGAAGACTTTGATCGGCGTTCAAGACCTCTCGAAGAAGGACTCGAAGCTTAAGAAGGTGATTGTTGGGTAAAGCTTCGATGTTTGAAGCCCAAAACATCATTAACATGACGGTTAATGATATGATAGACAAAAAGAAAATTGTCTAGCTCTTTAGGAATAAGAAAAGTGTGTTTTCCTATTAGTCATAGGATTAGAAAAGGAAATCTACTCCTATATATGTGTTCACAGAATTGTAGTGAAAACACAAGAGAGAATGAGAGCTTTGTGTTTAGTTTTGAGAGAATTTTCTAAACATCAATAAAGAGAAGGATTTCTTTATATAAGCTGAGTTTTTCTTTTTAAAAACTTTAGGTACTGTATATCATGAGGAGCATGACTTCACTCGCATAATATCAGCTTACTACCAATAAATCTTCTCCTCTCAAGCTCCATGAGACTTTCGCCTGGTACGAAGTTCTCGAACAAGTAATCTCATAAGAAATGAATATGCGACTTATACGTATACTTGACAAGGAAGAGTTTTATGCAGCAGTGAAATCAATCCACCAAGCAAAGCCTCGGCCCTGATGGCTTCTCGGTGGGGTTCTTCTACACATATTGGCCTATCATTGAGTGTGAAGTGGTACAAGAAATCTCTGAGTTCTTTAGGAAAACTCTTTCCTAACTTGACAAAATGAAACACATATTCGGCTCATATCAAAGATCGATCTCAGGCTCTAGGAAAGTAGAGGATTACCTATCTATTACTTTATGCAATGTATACTACAAGATTGCAGCTAAAGTCATGACAAAACGTTTCCACTCGGTCCTCCCTGAACTCATCTTTGAATCTTAGTCGGTGTTTGTCCCTAGGGGTGTGATTCCTTATAACACATGAAACACTTCAATACCTTCGCACTTCTGAGGCAAAAAAAAAAGTGTTTTATGACTGTTAAGACTAATATGAGTAAAGCATATGCATCGAATCAAATGGAAATCCTACAAACTGTCTTATTTTCATGGCAGGTGGACCTCATGGATCTGCGTAACCTCAGTCTCCTTCTCGTTTTTCATTAACGGTAGACCCCAAGGACATGTTACTCCTTCCAGATGCCTCCACCAAGGAGAGCCACTCTCCATATACCTCTTCATCTTCTGCATAAAAGTACTCTTAGGTTTATGTTGTCAAGCCAAGATAATGGATCGGTTCAAGGCATTTGCATAGCCCTCAAGTTAACCACCTGCTGTTTGTCAACAGTATAATTTTTTCTGCCGTTTTGACCCCATTAGTTGTAATACTCCAACGCTTATTCTACGCAGTAGGCATACCTTCCAAATACATAATATTCTTTTTAAAATAAGTTTTGAATATTATAATTACAAAATAAATAAATTAATTTTTAGATTTTTGAAGTAATATTAATTAACTTTTTATGCTCTCAAATTATGCCAATTTGTTTTAGATAATATATACGTATATATAATAACTGAATTATTTTAATATAATTTTAATATTTAGAATTGTTTTTGTGAATCCAAACTAAAAAAATTAAAAAATCAACGTAAGTATTATTGCATATAATACTTATATAGTTTTTAATTGTATTGAACTATTAATTTAATATATTTTCATAGTAATGTGGTTTTGATATTTTTTATAATTATATAATATTTATATTGTTAATTTATTGTTTAAGCGCTAATACACATGAAAGTCAATAAACGCACTCGTTCTCAACTGATATGCAAATCATACAAACCACTTTGTAATGCAATTAATCCAACTAGGTAAAACATTTTATATGTTCAATATATAATTACTATTGTATATTAAAGATATTTATTTATACATTATTAATTATTTATTAATAATAACATTATGTTAACATAGAATAATAAAAAATAATGATAAATCAAATGAAAAATATTGTAGATATAATAGAAATTGAAGATAACAAAAAATATTAATCAAGATTTTAAAATACTTTCATAAATAAAAAGTGTAAATATGGTAACTAAATAAATTGTAAAACATTAAAATATATAATAATTTATTTACTTTTTATGGTTGGTCCACGGGCAGGTACACATATAATTTTTTTACAGACATAATTAGTTTTAATATTTAAGTATTCATTAATTTTTTAATATATTACGCAAATACTATGTTTTTATACATATACAATTTTAGTATTTAACAAACAATCACACAAACGTTTCATATCGTTTTGTGTCTTTTGAAAACTTTTTTTATTTAATCTAGCGTTTAGAATGACATATAATTTTAAAAATAAAAGTTATATTAAATAATAATTGAATTCTTATTATATATTTTGAATATTATATATATTATACTTTTTTTCTTACATAATATAATCTTGTCAATATATATATATATATATATTAAGTATATATTTTTCTTTGACATATTGCTAATTAAACCAAAATGGAGTTTACCATCTTTATTTATCCTAAGAGTGGGTAGATGGTTGGCCTGCACATTCGTGCGTACCAGTCACCACACCGCTCTTAGGATATATAGAGATTTTTAAAAAAATATTCCTTATGTTCTTTAAAGGATTCTTTTTTTTTGCGATTTTTACACTTATTAAGAAAAATCTTGAAATGACATATTTTTCCTTTTTTTACTCATATAAAATAAACAAATATATAAAAAATAAGGATAAAATTAGAAATACTTAACAAAAACTATATTGAAAAATGATAAAATTCATCTTTTTGAAACATATTTTTTTCTAGAAGATCTTCTTTTTAGAAAAAAGAGAGTATAAATTGTCTAATAACTAAAATTAAAATTGGATTGTAATCGAGGTTAACAAAATGCATGCACGACAGTTCGCATGCTACTTTGACTTTTGCACAATTAATATTTATATCCCAAGGTATATTTGTGAAAAAATAAAAGTATAGCTTTTGTGTTAAAAGAAAATAATAAAATATATAATTTGTAATATATATTTATATAATGTATGATTGAATTTTGTTTTTAACAAAATATATATATATATATTTATGCATGTAAGTATGAATTAGAAATAAGTGAATTGTCATATTTAGATGTTGGTTAATTTTTTTGATATTTTTGCAAACGTTATGTTTTTACATGATGCAGTTTTTGGCGTTTAACAACAATTACGAAAACCGTTTCTATCGTTTTATATACAATCAAAATTTCTTATTTGTTGCATTTTACGATATATAGTTTCTCAATCTGATATATTATTTTTATATTTCATTAATGATTATCATGTGAATGCATTCTCATTGTATACCATATATCAAAGTCGTAGAGATTCATTTTTACTTTAACTTCTATTATTTTTTACTAAAAGAATACTTATGATTTATTTTTTATTCGTTTATTTTTCTGTTTTATTTATAATTTCGAATTGTTGGGATATAATGAGAATGCATTCACATATAATATAACCTTTTTAATTTGAAAATGAAATTTATTTAGTTTTAACTCAACCAATCAACTCATTTAATTTAGAAAAATTATCATATCATATTTTCAGGTCATCATTAATTTACACAAATTTTTCTTTTGCTTAATACACACCAACATTTTTCACTAAACCTATTTCTCAAATAATATATAAGATTGTCTACTTTCGCAAACTCCCACCAGCAACTGCAACTACTGCATTTAAAACAGTGAGGCTCTAAATACAGATTAATAATAAACTAAATGCAAATTAATAGTATACTAACCACATATTAAAAGCACAGTACTAGACTTTTTTATAATTTTCTTTATAAGAGATTTACTTTTCACATTAAAATAAATAAATGATTTTTATATTTAATTTATACTTCGGTATTTAAATTGGTTTCAAACAATTTAAATTATGAAATCAAACTAATCTAATACAAAAAGAGGAACATTTATTTTGGTAGATTCAAGAGAGAAGTTCTAGGATCAAACCAGACAAGATAAGTTTCTCTAAGTCAACTACAGCTTGATGAGTTTCATCAATCTGAAACTCATTTCTCCAACCCAAATCCCAAACTCCATTTGTTATCTCTGTCTTCTTACTCGTTAAATCCTTCTCCAATATCATGTGAATGCTCTCTTTAACAAAGCTGCTCTGTCCTAAGAACGTGTCTCTGTAACTTCTCAAGGACTCAAACTCATCACAGACTTCCATTAACAACTCATCAATGTGCACAGAGCTTCTTTGGGCACACGTTGGTTCCGAAATGAGAAGAAGGCTTCTGCGTCTGGCTACTTCTTTGGCGAAATCTAGTGCAAGTCTTTGGTCTGAGATTACGATGCTGTCTCTATCTTGAAAGGCTGATTCTTGACTTCTTTTGGAATTGGTTTTGAAGTCAAAGAGATTCTCGGCATAACTGACGAAATCTTGGGAGCTAGATAGGAAATCTCTAAGTGAGATTTGGCAGGTTTCTTGCTGAATTGTGGCAGCACAAGAAGTAACTTCTCCGTTATCACAATGGCCTTGACAAGAAACAAAAGAACCAGAGTATATATATGAGAAGATGCTCACATTTAAAACATCCTGAAAGCTAACAACTTTTTGTAGTACTAACCTTGAATGTGAACCTCTGAAGAAGTGGTTTCCTCTGTAGAAAGTTGGTTTATTGATGAAGAACTTGAAATATTCTCTGAAGTGAGGTCACTATCTCGTAGATGGAGTTTCTTCTTGACCTGGATGAGAAACAGAGTTACTGAAAGTTCTATAATTTATAGATTATGCATCGAAGCAAGTGAGAAAGATTTTGCTCACGTTTGGTCTATTAGCCTCACCGGACTTCTTTTCCCGGTTACTACTTCTCTGCTCAGCACTATTACTAGAGCTAGAGCTGGAGCTCAACCTTGAACGCCGAGTCTTGTTTCTTGAAACATCCGAAGAACTATTCAATTTCTTGTGAGTTGCAGGATTATTCGGTGGCTTAATAGATCGGTCATGAGGTTTATATCTATCTCTACCTTCACCAAGATCCTCCTTCTTGACAAGAAGCTTTTTGTTTGTTTCCACCGGTTTTCGATCTTTGACATTGCTTGGAGACATTTTCTTGATTACTTTACCTTCATTCTCTTCGATTCTCCGCACCGTTTCTTTTGGTTCTCTGCCTCTCTTAGTCAGACTTAATGGCAATTTCATTGGCTTGGCTTGATGATCTTTTCTCTGGTTAATCATTCTTGGATGAACCTCACCTTGCATCCTCGGTTTCTTGGACAAAACTGGTCTTTTGTTTCCCGGTTTTTCTTCGATTTCGGGCTGTACCACACGCATAGGTCTGATGAGTACTATAGTTGAGGGATTCTCTTCAGGCAAAGATTGTAAAACAGCTTCTCTTGTAGAGTCACATCTCACAGTTTCAAGATTCTCCTTCTTCTTCTTCTTCTTAACCTCCTCTTGTCTTTCTGCTGACACCTTTAATAACTCCGGTTTATGATTAGTCGGTTCTTGAGGAGATACATCCAAACCCATAAGCCTAGCAATCAAACTTGGAGCTCTCCTTGTGATATCAGACGAAGCAGATGACTTTGTAGAGCCAGAAACCATAGAAAATTGACTCGAGCTCGTTGATGAAGAGGCAGCGCCAGAAGAAGAAGCGAAATCATTTCTAACAACCCGAGACTTAGTCTCTGTTTGTGGAAGAAGATTCTGCTTAAGAAAGCTTTCTCTAATCACTTTCCTTAGATCATCATAACAATCTCTTGACGCTGCTACATTCTCTTGAACCATCATCCGTTTCTCCACACGCTCTCCGAATCTATCAGACATTGATCTCTGAAACCGCAAATCGCTTCTTCCTCCGTCTTTACTAATCCTCGGGTTATGCTTGAGATCATCTTCTTGAATACTAGTAAGCATAGCTAAAGACTCTTCTAAGTCAAGTGCTCCTCTTAACAAATCTTTAGATATATCTTCAGGCCTTGCAGCTTCGTAGCTTAACCCTTTAGACAATGAATCAATCGCAACGTTTAGTTTCTGAATCCCTTTTGATACTCTCAACAGATGCAATGAAGAAGGAGGAGCTTCCTCTGTGCTCTTCCTCGCCGCTGTTTCGGATTTATCTTTTGATTTCGAAGGATGGTCTAATCTCTGGTTAGTACTACTACGGCACTTACTCTGTTTCTTGATTGCTCCACATTCAACAACTCCTCTTGGATCATCACACATTATAAATGATCTGTAAACTCCTGATCTTAATTTCCCTTCTGGCATTGTTTTTTGTTTCTGCAACAAAAATTTCAAGAAACTGAGTCAAAACTGTAATGACCCAATTTAGATCTCAGACGTAAGATCAAACCCTAGTGTCTGAATTTCCGATCTGGTTTCAAGATTGAAGCAGAGAGGTGTTGTAGAAGAAAGAAAAAAACACGATTCTTGTTTTTTTTTCTGGTTGAATTTAGACCATCTCCAAAGAGAAATAAAAATACGATTTTTTTGTAAAATTCTCCTAAAATTAGAATTAAGTGACGCAATCAGAAACACAATATTCCAAGAAAAAATCTGAAAAAAATTACCAAAATTGAGACTTGGACCAAACTTATCAAAAACTCTCAAGAAAGTCTCTGAAATTATTTCGGGGGAAATGTGAAACTCAGATGAAGAGATTCCGATCAAACCCAACGAATAGTCTTCTTAAATATTTATCTTGCACCGCCTGCAAGTGAGAAGAAGAAAGAGACAGAGAGAGAGAGAGAGAGAAAGAGCTAAGGAAGCGAGTCAAACTCAAGATCCAGCTTCTTACTTCGTCGAGGTTTCGTGAGCTTACACGATAGGATCCTTTTCGGACAAGCGGATTCAATGTCTCTGCAGAGAAATTGTCTTAATGAATTGAAAATTAAAGAACATTGAAATATCTGTTTATATTTTTTCATTATATGAAAAGATAGGAAGATGAATCGAAGGTCCACGTCATCAGAAGAACGGTGTTACAGTTTCAAAAAAGGACAAAACTACCTTCCGTTATTCTATAACTACTAAACAAGCTTTCTCATTAGTTGTGTATTTATTTAATTAATCATGAATTTTATTATTTAGTCTTTGATATTCGTACCAAAATCGGTTTTGTTTATTTTAGGTTTATAAAATTACAGACTACAGTGCCATTTGCTGGCAGGAGAATCAAATGTGAGTAAAAAAATCCTTAAATGAAGAGAATATTCTCACTAAAAAAAATTGTGTGAACAACTCGTGTTGGTTTATTTATTTAACAGCTGCAAACGGACATATATTAGTAATAATAATTAAGGAATAAAAATAGCAGATCATATATCTATATATATATATATATATTCGCAGAGCATTGATGGAATTAAATGGTGGGTTAATTTGTGAAATAACCATATTACACTATAAAATAAAATATATAATCATACTAATTTCATAATTGATTCAATAATCAAAAACCCTAAAATTTGTCTATTTTACCCTTCAAACAAAATTTATAAATACATAATTATAGTATATTATATCGATTTATATTACCATACTATATTATATATAAAATATTTGTTATTTATGAATTATATAGAAGTGAGGAGAAAATAGAAAGGGACGAGAGAGGATAGGAGAGAAGACGGAGGGGAAGGAGAAGGGATAAAAATGAGGGAAAATGAATAAACGGGAAGAGAAAATAAAAGAAATGAGGGAAGAATAAAAAAAGAGGAGGGAAAGAAAAAAAATAGAAAATGGATAGTTTTGTATATATTGTATAATATATACAAAATACTATAGTCATTGATTTTTATGGTTATTTTGTCTATTTTTCAGTTTTATATGGTCATATGATCCAATTTCTCTTAAATGGTTGATGTAAATTATTTTTTTCAAAAAACTCTAGTTGAAACGAAAGGGTAAAAAGATTTGATGTGATGTATTTGTGATTTAGCCAACACACCATTTTACGAGGGTTTCCAGAAATGATAATTTTGACTGTGTTGTAAATTGTAATTGTGAATGGTAAAAAAAGAGAGTGGAGAAATGAAATACTCAACGCAAACAACATAAGAAATCGGATCTCTTTGCTAAATAATTGGTTGTGTAATTAATATTCTCATTTTGGAGAATCCCATTTCAATGACACTTTTTGTCTAGTTTCTCCACAATTGTGCACATGATTAGGTTAACATTTATTGGCGAATATCACCATTCTTTATCATTTATGATGCAACGACTTCTCAAATTGTATGTATCATAACAAATCAATCCAGTATAGATATTTTGTATGGGTCATTACATAGTTAATTCGTTTGGTGTTGACTCTAGCGGCGTGATGCAATGACTAGTTGCGATTTCACACCTGAACATGAGTTTAAAATTCATAAAAATGGGGTTATAACTAAATATAATATTCACTTGTAAAACAAACCTCTCAGTTTTACATTGTTGCTAAAAGCTTGAGGAATAAGATAATTTCATCTCAATTTCCATAATATTGCTGCATTTCCTTAACCACAATAAAACATTGGTGGTCGATATTTGACCTTAATAAATCGATAGCATTAAATAAAGGATGGACTTTCTAAAATTCAAAAGGACATGGAATGTTGTTTTTGGGATTGTAACACATTTATTAGAGGTTTTCAAAAGTCGAAAACATTTTAAGAACATGCACTGAGTAAGACCCGTGACAAGAATGGCAGACAATTCAAATTTGAATGTTAAAATTACCACAAGACTGTTATTTTTTCTTCCTCTTTTAGCTCTATTTGTTATTAAGGAGATGGTTAAGAGGAAAATTTTAAAAGAACAAAGAACTTGAGAAATGCGTAGAAAAATCATGTACTCCTACCACTAAAAGTTACCAGTAGTAATAAATTTCCAAAGGATTGATTTCAAATTTGAAATAAAGGTGAAGTGATTATGTATTGATATAGTCACATGGTTCTTGCAAATAATGACCGCTTTTGTGGCAGCAATAAATGCCTAAGCTCTTCTTTGGTTACTTTGAGTGCAAGCGTGAAATTATTGAAAGTTTTTATTTTATTTTCATATGTAGTAAAGTTGAATAAAGATCATTCATGTGCTGTGTTAGCTTTAGAATCAAGCTTCCACATTTAAAATTTGTATGCTCACCAGATCTTTTAGGGTATACAAAATGGCAACATTTCTACGTAGCTTTCAACCAATATGAGGCGTATTGATATATTACCCTATGTAGTATGAGAAGTTTACTGACAAAGAACAAAAAAGTATGAAAAGTTTGACATGCAGTAAAAGGTAAACAGCGTATCTGATCACTTCATTTGGGTCTGGTTCGGTTTGTATCTATGAAATACCGATTTAAAAGTTGGTTGGGTTTTAATTATATATTTATTATTTTATCATATAACAGTAATTAAATCTAAATTTAATATAGTATATTACAAAAAAATTGATTTATACAGTTTGGGTAGATCAAATTCAGTTTGGTTGGGTTCGGTTTAAATTGTGTAGAGGATCAACCAATTTTTGTCAATTGATTTTTAGTTTGGTTTATCAAAACTGGTATCAAAGATTGATTAAAAATTATTATTTTAGAATCAGAACATAGCCTTTTTTTCACCACATATCATAATACTTTTCACCAAAACAGATAAACTAAGAGTAAAAACAAACTAAACTAGAAAAAATGACGGGGTTTTCTGCAAATAAATAAAATCTTCCTTATTTGAAGAAATGTATGATCAAACCCATCAAATCGCACTTAGCCCACAAAAGACTACTTACAAGGGGATTGATATAGAGTTTTACAGAGCATATTTGCATAGTGAAAGTGTAAAAAAGAGGACAGAGACAGAGCTAACAATAGGAGCTTGAACACTTATATATACCAACTCTTTGTTACTTGTGTTCCACTGTAAGTAGGCAACAGGCGAGACTTCAAGTAGCTGCTTCCGCAGCCTCCATGTCTAAGGTACCTTTAGTCAATGTCAAAGACAAGAGACAATTGGAGAAAGCTTTGTAAAATTTATATACATGTTTTATGAATTACTTGTCGACAGAATTAGGGAAGCTTGTAGCTGAAGCATAACTCTTCTTTCAACATCTGTAAAGAAACATAATTTTATCATAAAACTTAAAAACAGTGTAAGAGTAAGATAACAAAGTGGAAAAAATAAAAAATAAAAGACAGAAATAATTATTCGCGATCCGAAACCTTGCTAGATTTGAATCAAATTTGGAACATAATTAATAAAAGATGGAAATCTGATCCGGCTCCAAGATCTCCTTGTCTGACCTTATACCATGTTACCGTAGGCTTCATTACTCCAGCGTTTATCACCATACACGAGGACGCTCTCCTCCTCAGTCCTCATCACTCCATTGTTTATCACAACACATGAGGACGTTTTCCCCCTCATCGATCAAGAAACTTACGCAATGCGAAAGACCTAGTTCAGGCTTCGAATCCACTGCTAAGACCATGTTCCACGAGACAACTTTGGTCTCATCAATCATATTCGTGACCCATATCTCGGTCCTTAATGTGTTTTCGCGCTCACGGAAAGATTCTCAAATTATTATAATAAAATATATAGTATTTTCTTATTTCACGTTGTATTATAATAATACAAAGATTCTCAAAGACCAATAAACTAATTTCTATTTACTAATTTTTTCCCTTTTTCCTATGTTTTTTTGGATTTTACTTTTTTTTTCTGGGTTGTACATATAAAGGAAAACGTTAAGGTCAAAACCCTAATTTCTAATTATCCAGCCACCTCTCGCTCTCTTTTTCGTTGCAAGATGACAAGAAGAACACTCAAACTGCTCGATCTTCCAAAGGATTTGGAAGAGGAGGTACTTTCTAGGGTTCCAGTTACATGCCTAGGTCAGATACAAATACAATATACATGCAAACGATGGAGATCTTTATTTAATGATATGGAGTTCAACAAGAAGCAGTTGGCTAAAACAGCAAACCAATGTTTCTAATGTTGATTGATAATAAGGTTTTTTATGTCAATCTCCATGGAATTTACAACAACAATGCTGATCCAACTATATATAGAGTTTAAGGGTGGACTTAGCCTAAACGATCTCCATCATGTTTCAGAACAGGTTGGTATTTTTGAAGTCTCTACATGCGATGGTTTGTTGTTATGCACATTCAAAAACAACAGACTCGTTGTTTGGAACCCTTGTAATGATCAAACCAGGTGGATCCAACCTAGAAATTTTAACAAGGCAGAACGCTCTAGGGTTGTTTTTAGTCTTGGATGCGAAAACAACAAATCTTGCCATAGTTACAAAATCTTGACGTGTTGGCCGGACGATCGTCAACGGCATCCGTATCGCCTCAGCTCGGTTATTCGGTTTGAAATATATGAGTTTAGCTCTGGTTTATGGAGGGTTCTTGATGATGAGGTCGCTCTCGACTGTCTCATATTAGCACCAACTGGCGTGTCTTTAAAGGGAAATACTTACTCACTTGCTCAGGATACAAACGACGGTTCTAGATTCTTACTCAGTTTTGATTTTACAACAGAGAAACATAGCCGTTTGTGTCTTCCGTTCAAGAGTACTATAACTTATACTACTGCTATAACTCTGTCGGTTGTTAGAGGAAAACAACTTACATTGTTACATCAGCCGCGGGGTGAACGAGAGATGGAGATTTGGGTGACGACCAATGGTGAGATTGATGATCCGAAAGTCTTTTAATGGAGAAAGTTCTTAGCAGTGGATTTAATCACTCATCGTCATTGTCCGTTTTCGAGGAACGTAAGTTTCTTCATCGACGAGGAGAAGAACGTGGCAGTGTGTTGTGGCGAAAGATACGAAGGTAGGACCAATATCAGGGACACTGTATGCATTATTGGAGATGACAAATACAGAGAAATCTCTTTTGGAGATATCAAATACAGAGAAATCTCTTTCAGCGATACTAGAGAGAAATCATTGTGGCCATTTATTTTCAACTATGTTCCAAGTTTTGCTCAAATCAAGCAAGGTTGAATAATCACGGTTTTGCTATTCGT